CAATAAAAACATCAGACATACAGCCCACGGATCCCAGCGGTCCACAGAGGAGCTACTGTAGTGCTTTATTTTTTTATATGATCATAAACACGGAGACGCACGTCCAGCTCATCCAGCGTTGTGCTGCTTGCTTTGCGTCTTTCTGACGTTTTCACCTGACGTCATGACCTCGGTAATATAACGTTACCTAATCTAAGGCAGACAGTTACAATTAGATTTGATGTTTTAGATCAGGGGTCACAACCCAAATGTTAAGAAGAGCCATTTTGTGACGCTTCAACAAAAATCTAACCGCTTTGGGAGCCACATTTTACGCCCATCTTGGCTGTAAATATGTCTCAGTATGTGCTGATGTGCTGGAATAGAATAAAGAGTATAAACGAAAACAGAGACTTACTTTGCTCTGCTTTAAGCTTTAGCTCAGCTATAGCCGCTTTTCTCGCATCTCCAGCAGGAAACTTTTCCGCAAAGGTAGAACAGTTTCTTGTGAAAAGTCTCTCAACGTTCAACTTTTTACGAGGCTGAAGTCGCTTCTCATTTGAATTTTCCCATTTCACCTTAAATGAACGTAACTGCTGCACCATTTAAGGTGGAACGGGAAAATTCGAACTAGAAGCTGGTGAACGAGAAACTGATTCAGCTTCGCAACTTTTTAGTGTTTGTCAGTGTCTCGTTGCAGATTAAACGTATCAGGAAACCAGCTGGAGTGATTATAAATGCAAATAAGTCCATTCATCTTCAAATTATTGATGTTTTTATCTTAAATTTCTCTCTATGGCTTTTCGTTAGTTACCAGCTAGGCGAGATTCTTTTCTGCGCTGCTATGGTGATCAGCAGTCTGGTCGGCTGGTTTCTCTCTTGGAAGGTTCTATATGAAACCATCTACAGCACATTCTCCATCAATCTGAAGAACGTTTCATGGTGCAAAGAACCATTTACTTATGCAAAGGGTTCTTTGAGTGTCTGTGGTTCTTCATGGAACTTTTTTTTTTTAATTAAAGAACCTTTAAAGAACCGTCTTTTTGAACAGTGTAACAGAACAACCCTTTTTGGTGCTATATAGAATCCTTTTGGAAAAGTTTCTACACACCATCTACAGCACATTCTCCATCAATCTGAAGAATACTTTACTGATGCAAAGAACCCTTTAAATCATGCAAAGGGTTATTTGAGCATTAATGGTTCTTTATGGAACCTTTTTCCTTTTTTACTACAGAACCCTTAATGAACCATTGTTTTTAACAGTGTAATAGAAGGACCCTTTTGGGTTCTGTACAGAACTCTTTCTGAAAAGGTTCCAGACAGAACCATCCACAGCACATTCTCCATCAATCTGGAGAACTCCTTCATAATGCAAAAGGTTGGCTGAGTGTCCATGGTTCTTCATGGAACCTTCATGGAGTCTGTACTAAAGAGCCCTTAATGAACCATCGTTTTTAACAGTGTGACAGAACGACCCTTTTTGGTGCTATGAAGAACCCTTTTGGAAAAGGCTCTATACAGAACCATCCACAGCACATTCTCCATCAATCTGAAGAACGCTTTCACGATGCAAAGAACACTTGCAAAGGGTTCTTTGAGTGTTCTATATAGAACCATTTTCTTTACTAAAGAACCCTTAAAGAACCATCATTTAAAGTGTGTGGAGAACAGTCTGGCAGGCTGATGCTGATTGGTGGGGTACAAGCTTCCATTACCTGTTAGCTGTATTAGCCTCGTAGCTCCAACGAAACAACTAAAGAACCAAACTTCAGAACCCAAACATGTCTTGGCTGATTGAGGGAAAAGTACATAAAATTGATGCTGAATTTCCTTCACAGTGTTTCACGGTTTTATGTGAGGATTCTGAATAAGCTTCTGACGCAGTCGGTGACGTAACCTCGGCTACCCGCCTCGAGACGCTTCTGACGTTTCCTCCCGGCCGAGTCGCTCACAAAGTCAAAGATAAACAGGCTACACTTTCTCAGCTTCCACAAATCCCGGTTTTAAAGTGCTCAAGGGAGAGCGAGAGAGGACAATATCAACCAACTCAATACCCACCAGGCGTCCCGACACTCACTCGCCATCTTCCCCAGCCGTATTTTAACCTGCAGCTTATTTCGCTTCACTACAGTCTTATGAAAACCTGTCACAAACGGCGGAAACCAAATTACTTTCATCATTATGCAAACAAAGGCAATATAGATGTTAGCCGAGTTACTCTGGAGGGAATGGAGCAAGATGGTGAGAAGACTCCAGCGAGGCAGGATTGGCTGAAAATGGACGCTAAATGGATGAGACTGAAGAAGCTCCACCGGATCGGGTGAAGGAGAAAGAGCGGGGGGGTGGGGAGGGGGAGGCGCGGAATCCCATAATCCTTTAGCCGACTGAAATGAAGTGTGGCATCACGTAGCTGTAAATGTCCCCATTAACATTCAAATGGATGGAAAAGTCACTAAGCAGAAAATTACCCACAATTCTCTCGACACACTCAGATCGTTTTATCGGGCCGTCTCGCCGCAAAGCCTGACTGGAATGGAACTTGAGAGGACAATCAAAGTGAATGTTCGCAGATTGTACTGCTGTCTCTCTATAGTCACCAGCCACTTTAGGCTTCCTCTAACTGGCCACTTTATTAGAAACACCCACCTTGTGCGTCCACTAACGGGACACTTCATTAGAAACACCCATCTTGTGCTTCCACTGACTGGCCACTTTATTAGAAACAACTACCTTGTGCTTCCATGAACTGGTCACTTTATTAGAAACACCAACCTTGTGCTTCCACTCACTGGCCACTTTATTAGAAACACCCACCTTGTGCTTCCATGAACTGACCACTTTATTAGAAACATCCACCTTGTGCTTCCACTAACTGGCCACTTTATTAGAAATACCTACCTTGTACTTCCGCTAATGGGCCATTTTATTAGAAACAACTACAGTGTGCTTCCACTAACTGGCCACTTGTCCTTGGACATTTTCTTGTCCATTATGTATCTGTTTAAGATGTGAATTTAGATGATAATTCTTGCTTAATATTTTACTTAACAAGTTTTTTTTAAAAAAGTGTTTAGTATGTATTATTACAACTAATGCAACCTCCAACTATGCGATACAGGTTAAAGTGAATAGCGATACATAATTTACAAGAGTCTAATTTGGGCCTTAATAAAACACGACCTTAATAAAACTTGGGAAAGATGTGTTTGTGGGTGCGCCATAGTAAAACCATCGAGAGAACCACTGTAGCAATGAACAAGGGAAACCTGCAGTGTAGGATCCCCTACCTGAGCTCAGGCCTTCAGGTGATGATCTGAGACGTGAGATAAGCACCTAAATCCAGCACAATCACCACCTCCCAGATCAGAACGCTGTCAGGCTACGGCGAGTCTCAGGCTAATTAAGCTGCTGATGTATTGAGTAATCACTCAGAGGAGGGCATGAATATTGCACATGATGTGGATGTATTGGAAATGAGGCGCGGAGTGTGAGCAGAGAGCTGGCGGCCGTCACGACAGCATCAATACTGGGGATGCCATTTATCAGGAAAACCAATACAAATCTGCCTGATATGGTTTCCCTTAGATAGACAGTCTACTATTACTGTCACACTGCATTACAATTCAAACATGATTACATAATTACATAAATAACTGCGTAGTGTGGATGTGTCTGTGTCCCAAATGACTATTACTCAAATGTATTTTGCTCCGTTGGGCTGCAGGATCCAGTATTTAAATTCCTATGTAGTGCACTATGTAGGGAGCAGGTAGCTGTTTGAGATTCAGCCCCAGCGTGAGAAGAGCGGCACTGCTGGATTGGTGCTAAATAAGACTCACGGTGGTAATTCGGTGACCAAAAAAGTACTTATAAACTGAACGTTTTTACATTAAACAGTGCTGTGTTACATATGTTTACTGTTATATGACAAAAATAAAAAAATAAATAAATCATGAAATGACCACAATATACAGAGATGGGCGACCGAACGTTCTTCTCCTCAATCAGTGCTCCATGGTTGCGTGGCAACGATACCACACACTAAAGGAACTACATTTCTTGTGACTTGTTGACTTCAATTTTCATTAATAATAACTCAAATTATTTTCTAAAACAGTATGTATTGTATCATATTTTATGTTGGCGGCTGTCGTATGAAAGCAATAAGCCACTTGAGGCTGTGCGTTACTGCAATTTTATCACAGGGAAGGAAGTTTTACTCTGCTTCGCTCTGTGCCTAACAACCACCCTTCCCCGTGATAAAATCACAGTAACCCACGGCCTCTCGAGACTTATTGCTTTAATGTAACAAAAGATTACATCAAATTCAAATGAAATGAGTTAAAATATCTCCTCTTCTGGTTATAAACACAACTATGGTATAGACTGGTTTAGAATCTGCACCACAGTTTCTCCACTTGTTTCAACAAACTACAATTAAATTACCTCCATGTTCTGTAACTACTGTGACTTTAAGGGGGATTCCACATATATTTAACACAAATTGTCAGTGTGTGAGATGTAAACAGTAAACACAGTCATTCAGAGTGGTTTGGTGTGAATTGCTTCAGATGTCTTTACAGTGGTGGTGATAGGAACCAGGGGTCGCCATGACTACAACACAAATATGGACATTTTATTTACTATCCAAAACCACCAGTGAACCTACACGAGTCTTCTGAGTTTATATGGATTGTTGATGGAAAATACTGGAATATCTGAACATGTTTTAGAACAAAACAGTGTCTCAGTCATCAGGCAGTGAATTCATAACCATTTCATGTAGTAACTTTCTGTCAGGGAGCTTTTAGAGGTGGACGTCTGGTTCCCATCACCACCACTGTGAACAGCTCTGACTCGGTAAGTTTCTCTAGAACAGAGCGTTTCACACCAAACCACTCTGAATGACTCTGTTTACATCTTAACCACTTAACTACGGAGGAAGTTGAAAAATTGCCGGAGTTCCCCTTTAAGAGTTTAACAGCTGTATAGAGGATCAGCACTATAAGGAGTTTTACCTGAAGACCAGGTGTTTGACCTTAAACTGAGTTTCAATGACCCCGGTGGTCCGTATTCTGACCCTCAGCACATCCATCTCCGTGGGTACATAGTCCTGGGACACGATCCGAGCCATGTTCTCGAAAAAACTACAGAGAGAGGGAGAGAGAGAGACGGAGAGAGAAAGAGAAAGAAAGAAAGAAAGAAAGCATGACAGAGAGATAGACACAGAGTGAAAGAGAGAAATAGAGAGAGAAAAAAGAGTTGAGAGGCAAAGTGAGAGATAGAGAAAGAACGAGAAAGCAAGAGACAGAGAAAGAGAAAAAAGAGTGAATGAAATAAAGAGAAAGAAAGAAAAGAGGGTGAGAGAGAGACAAGAAGAGAAAGCGAGAAAAAGAAATTGGGAAAGAGAAAGAGTGAGAGAAAAATAAACAAAAAGAGATAGAGAAAGTGATAGAGAAAGAAAGGGAAAGCAAGAGAAAAAAGGGGAGAACGCAAGAGAAAGAAAGAAAGAAAGAGAAAGAACAAGACAAAGCAAGAGAAAGAAAAAGCAAGAAAAAGAGAAAACGTTAAAGAAAAAGAAAGAGAAAGAGAAAGAAAGAGAGAGAAAGAAACAGAGAGTAAGAGAGAAAGAAAGAGAGAGTAAGAGAGAAAGAGAGAGAGAGTAAGAGAGATAGAGAGAGAGAGAGTAAGAGAGAAAGAAAGTGAGTGAGAGAGAAAGAGAGAAAGAGAAAGAGAGAGTAAGAGAGAAAGAAAGAGAGAGAGAAAGAAAGAGAGAAAGAAAGAGAGAGAGAAAGAGAGAATTTGTGTGAATCATTTGAATCATGTTAAAAACACTGTATTGAGACTCTGAGTGTGAATCAGCCTCTCAGCTCCACTGTTCAGTGTTCAGGTTCAGCCACTGCAGCATTTACCAGCCAAAATCTACAGATTTCAGTGAAACTCGTCGTGATTGGCGAATAGGTTTCTGCGTCGAAATCAACTCTGACAAGCCGATTTGGAACATCAACCAATAGCGCGACTGCTTTGGCTGTACTGACCTCTGAAGGGGCGGAGCTTCATAGCACTGAACCTCCAAAACAGAGGACTTGCTAACGTTAACAGTGTTTCAGCACAAACCGTTTACCATTTCTTCCCCACTGACCACAAATAAACACAAAGAGAGACTGTATGATACACAGTCAGCCGGGAGACTGTATCAGCACCTTTATAGATGATACAATCAGCTCGCTAACTGCAACGTTAGCTTCATGGCTAACTGCAGCTGCACCCAACTCTCCTGCCTGCAGGGCTGAACAGCTCGGGTGTGATTTTTCTGACTGATATTGCGACTATTTCTACAAATCAAGGTTCAAGCCTGTTTTTCTGGCCAATAAGACCAAAATATCCACTTTATCTGTCTACTGAATGCAGAGTGCCAGACTGCCAGTAAGTTGTGGTTGCGACGTCACAACACATGGAGGTTTGGTTGCCTCTGATTTGTCTAACCTCTTATTCTCTAGGGTATATTTTGGTTTTTCCATCTGAATTCACGTGACCAAATCGTAAGGCAAATTATTCAGTAACTGCACGAAATAAATGTACATTTTTATTTTATTTATTTAATTTTTTGTAAAAGCTCCCCTCAATGTGTTTTATGATCACACATATTGCTATATGCTTACAATTTACTGCTGAAAGCCAAAAATCTTAGACACTCTTTGTATTATTTTATAAAAATCATTTTTACAGAGCAGATCACTGAAGAGACGCCAACTGTTTATAGTTTATAGCCCAGATTTGTGGAAAATGGGTCAACTTTCAGTAGACAAAAAAGTTCTGTTCAGTCCAGCTTCTTTTATTATAAGGGTTTAAAATTACATAACCCATCTATTAGACTGGAAAGAAGACAGTTACAGCTCTCATATGACCCCCACCTTCTGAATGTAGCTTATGAAATATGAAAGTTATGAAGAATATGACAAAGTGCGTTTTGGAACCACCAGTGGAGTTGAAGAGGCTAATTCATCCACAGGCAGATCACAAGTTCTGTGCTACTAGGTTAAAGTTCCCCACTTACAACTTAGGCAAAGCTGTTTAACGTACAATTTTATTAAATCGCAGCTCTTGCGATTTGAAAATTGTGCTTTAAATTATGATTTCAATATAAAAATGATTTAAATGCTCTGTTAGCTTCAAGTCAAACCACAGTTACCGACAATGGCAGTTATCTACACTGTTTTTGCTACAGATGTAATTTGTTCACTGTTACTGTTTATGGTTAGCGAGTCAGCTAGCTCGCTAACTGCACCAACATGGAGGACTTTCCCACTGCCTCTCTTCCTCTCTGGTCTCGGTCGCTCCGCGACACAACGTGACCCGCGACTCTGGGTTTAATCTCCCTGCGTGGGACGCCGCTCCGCGCGGTGACGTCGCAGTGTTTAGGGGTGCGGCAGTGATAACGCTGCCCCAGAGGGGGGCGCTAATCGTATGCTAATTGCAGCTGCGAATATTCATACCACAGGATACTAGCCGGCTTACGTAGGATTTGCATATGCGTAATGAGCATTATTTCAAAGAGGGATTATCCTCAGCATTCCTGAGGGCTGCATTATGATACACCCCCCAAACGCCCCCCCACAGTGCTTCACACATCACACACACACACACACACACACACACACACACACACACACTCACACTCACGGAGATGCAGTCTGAGTTGCAGAGTTCATCTCTGCATCATCATGAAAGTCAAATGTGAGAGAGAGAGAGAGAGAGAGAGAGAGAGAGGGAGGGAGTAAAAAAAAAGAAAGAAAGAAAGAAAGAAAGAAAGAAAGAAAGAATGAAAGAAAGAAAGAAAGAAAGGGAAAGCATGAGAGAGAGATAGAGAGAGTGGGAGGGAAATAGAGAGATAAAAAGAGACAAAAGGTGAGAAATAAAGTGAGCGATAGCAAGAAAAAGAGAAAGAGAGAAAAAGAGTGAAAGAAGATAGAGAGAAAGAATGAAAAAAGAGGGAAAGAAGAAGAGAAAATGAAGAAAGAAAAGAGAAAGAGAGAAAGCAAAAGAAAGAAAAGAGAGCGAGAGAAAAGGAAATAAAAAGAGATAGAGAAAGAGAGAAAGACAGAAAGAAAAAATAAGACAAAGCAAGAGAAAGAGAAAAGAGAGAAAGAGAAAGGGAAAGAGAGAAAAATAAAAAAGAGAAAGAAAGAAAAAGAGAGAAAGAGAGAAACCAAAAGAGAAAGAGAGAAGGAATAAGAGAGAAAGAAAGAAAAAAACAAGAGTAAGAGAAAAGTAACAGGTGAAAGAGTAAGAGAGAGAGAAAGAAAGAAAGAGAGAAAGAAAGAGAGAGAGAAAAGAGTAAGAGAAACAAAGAGAGCGAGAGACAAGAAGAGAAATCGAGAGAAACAGAGAAAGAGTAAGACAAAGCGAGAGAGAGAATAAAGCAAGAGAAAGAAAAAAGAGTGAAAGAAAGAGAGAGAGAGAAAGAGAGAAAAAGAGAGAAAGAGAAAGAAAAAGAGTAAGAAAGTTAAACGTGTGCATTTTGTGTATGTGAAAGTTCTGTCGGTGTAAATGACTGAAAAAATGGGCAACAAACGTTTTGAGAGTTTGAGCTCAAACAGAACCTTTTTTGGAGGAAGATAAAAACGTTAAGTCGAAGCTTTGTATGTTCATTTTCTCCACAGTAACCCAGATTCCCAACTAGGGGGCGCTGTTAGCACTCAGTTGTTTTCCTGCAGTACTAAGTGCGAGCAAACCCACACCAGCAGGACAGCAAGTATGACCGGAGGCTGATAATTCCGAACGGGAAAGGAAATATTTTGTTAGGTAAAGATTTGGTGCAGTTTTATTAAATATTCCATGTTTAAATTTAAAAGTTAATCCCTAATTATCGATATCGACTGATATGACACAACACTTTTGGCCATATCGTCCAGCTCTACACCTGCATCCCAGCTCACACAAATACGCTTGAAAAGACGACTGAGGCCATAGGATGTTCAGTGCCTCACACAGCACCTAAAATACACAACATCTAATGAATAACCAACTATGAATAACTACGCGATCGAGCACGACGCAAGATTAGGCATCTTTGTCCACACAGATTAAGTTCTAATACGTTTTATGTAATAAAATTAATAATATGATGTGTGTACTCAATTGTATCGTATAAAAGTGCATTTAAATGTGTGTTATATTCATTGAATGTATTTATATGTATTTAGTGAAACTGAAATATTATTTAAAATGCATTATTCAGTAGAGCTGCAACAATTAATCCATTTATCGATTAGTTGTCGACTATTAAATTAATCGCCAACTATTTTGATAAAATCGATTAATCGGTAATGAGTGATTAAAATAAATAAATAAATAAAAATTCTCCGATTTCATTTGAGGACGTCATCTTGGGCTTTAGAAAACACACATTGACATTTTATAGACCAAACAACTAATCGATTAATCAAAAAAAATAATCAACAGATTAGTCGACAATGAAAATAATCATTAGTTGCAGCCCTTTTATTTTTATATATAAATCTTATAACTACTACTAGTGTAATAACAATTATATCTATAAATGATATTTTTAACTCTATTTAAGTTGTTTGCAAAAAGCACTAAATGCATTTAACATGTTGTCGCTGTCCAAAGAAAACTTATATCTCCAAGATAGTAACTTTACAGAATAAAAACAGTCTAAATTTTCAATGTAAGTTAATTTAACAATTTTATTTCAAGCCAATTTTGGAGCACTTCTATTGGTCAATACATCATGAAATGTTTTTATGTAAAGTTCCGGGCCTGCCGTGTTCGAACTATGTTAAAAATTAAAAATTGAAAAATTAAATCCTTACAAAAATATATATTTAATCATAACTTAATTTCAAAGTATATATTAAAGTATATTTAAAGTATAAACATTAAAAATGTGCACTTTCTACATTAAATACACTTTTGAAAAGTGCACTTCAGTGCATTTTCTTTCACAAGCATAATACAATCATAAACATAGACAATACATTTAAATGTGCAATCCAATCAGAAATCACTGCACCTTCTTATTGGCTCTTCAGGCTGTTTTGCGTTATTCTTAAAGCTCTTATGCTTCAGTGTCTAAACCTCTAAACCAACACGCTCCATCTAAGAACATCGTAACGCTGCA